GCGCTGGGGCTGGCCCGCGGCGCCCAGGGCTCTGCTGTGCACCCTGGCGGTGTCCGCGGAGCAAAGATGCCCTGTGCAGGGCTGCCTGTGACTCGTCCTCCCGTCCGTCCTGCGGCGGCTCCTCTGGGACACTCCCGTGAAGGGACACCAGGCGCTCCACGTCCGCAGGAATAAACCCCTGGGCCGGCCCCTGTCACCTGACAGACACGACTGAGTCCTATGTCCTATCCTCCCAGTCCCGGATCCTGCACAGACTGCTGTCCCCGCCGCCGTCCCTCAAAGTGACTGCAGAGGCCTACAAGCAGGCAGGGGCCTCTCTTTTCATTTTAAGACGTTTATCCATTTCTTTCTTGAGTCAGACACCGAGCACCAATAGCACCTTGAGTCTGCAATCCACTCCCAGGGGCATGGCCGCTCCGCAGTCCCTTCTCTGCTCTTCTCTCGGGATCTTGGGCATGCTCACACATGCACTGGCGTGAGCTTTAAGCCGGGTCCGGGACTCGAACCGTGGTCCCCTACATGGGAGCCCGGGGACCAGCCATCATGCCATCTGCTGCCCCCCCCCCCCAAGCTTTCTTGATCTATTTTGAATTCCCAGCACAGTACATTCCTGGAGCTCCCCATGGCCAGCTCCTGTGTCCCCTGTCCCTGCTCTGGGGTGGTGGCCTAGGGCAGGACACACGCCCCATCACACAGCAGACACTCAGAATCTGGAGAGTCGGGCTGGGACAAGCTGGACCCCTGTGCGGGGGGAGGGGAGGCACCCAGGAGGAGAAGGCTGGGCTGGTGCAGCAGAGGGCACGCTCGCGGCAGCCTGTGGCGGGCTGTGTACAAGGTTCGAGTCCCGGTCTAGGAGGCTGAGGCGGCTGGACCCCACATGGCCCACTGCACGGTTCAGTCCCAGATCTGGTGGTGTGCAAAGCTCTCCAGGTGTGCGCGCGGGGGAGGGGGAGGGTTAGCCACTCCCCCCAGGGGGCGGGTGATTGCTCAGTTCCCTGTCTTTCTCTCTAGCAAGCACAGGGCCCTGTAGCAAATTTTAAAAAGAAAGAAAAGGAGTACTAGTTAAGGCTCTGGATTCCCACATGGTCGACCGTGGTTCGAGTCCCGGGCCTGGCAGCTTGTTTTCTCACTTTCTCTGTCTGATGAGCACATGTAGCTTGTACCAAAAAAAAGAAAAAAATGTTTTTTGGAGACGGTTTTGCTATAGGGCGCAAGTGCTGACCAGAAAGAGACAGGGAGACAGAAAGCGAGAAATCACCCCCGGGGGGGTGGCCATGCCGCACACTGAGCTCTCTTGGTAGTGGTTCAATAAATACTTGCTAATTGGGACCAGCAGGTGGCGTAAATGGTTAAGTCACCGGACTCCCATGTAGTCAACCGTTGTTTCAAGTCCTGGACCCAGCAGCTTAAAACTCACGCAGGGTGCAGGGTGCACGTGTGTGCATGTCCAGGATTCCAAGAGGAGAACAGAGGAGAAGGGATTGTGGCGTGGCCATCCCCCCTGGGGGGTGATTTCTCACTTTCTGTCTGTCTCTCTCCGTCTGTCTGGTGAGTGCACGCGCCCTATAGCAAAAAAAACCTCTCCAAAAAACTAAATTTAAAAAAAAAAATAAGTAGCTTAATGTTTTGGGAACCAGCAGTTAGCATAATGGCTATGTCGCTGGACTCCCACGTAGTCGACCTCGGTTCGTGTCCTGGACCCGGTGGCTTAAAACTCACGCCGGGCGTGTGTGCGTGCGTGCCCAAGATCCCGAGAGGAGAATGGAGGAGAAGGGATTGCGGCGTGACCATCCCCCCTGGGGGGTGATTTCTCGCTTTCTGTCTCTATGTCTCTCTCTGTCTGTCTGGCGAGCGCCCGCACCCTACAGTGAAAATCTCTCCAAGAAAAAAAAAAAAAAAAAAAAAAAAAGAGAAACCCTCCTGGACTTAGTGTGGAGCCTGACTCCCACGGCAGAGTGATGGTGCCTTCTGCTTCTTCCTTTTTTTTTGTAGAGGTTTTGTCTTAGGGCACATGTGCTCGCTGGAGAGAGAGACACAAAGCCCGTGAGAGGAAAAATGAAACCACCCTCGGGGGACGGCTACCGCAACCCCTTCTCCTCCCGGGACCTCCAGCACGCACGCACCCAGCCTGCTGTTCCAGCTGCCAGATCCAGGACTTGCACCGTCACATGGGAGTCCAGACACTAGCCGGATGCCGTCTGGGGTCCCGATGCCGTCCAGGGACTGGCCCCCTTTTCTCAGTTTAGTTTTGCTCTAGGGCGGTGTACTCGCCAGAGAGACAGAGACAGAGACAATGAGAACTCAGCCCTAGGGACGGGCACGCACAACCCCTCCTCGTCCACTCCCCTCAGTCTTGTGGGCACACTCCCTCTGCGTATTTTCACACCGCCGGGAACGGGATTCGAACCTTGCAGGGATCCAGCCCTTAACCTCCCCGCACCCGCTGGCCGCTCACAGGTGTCGACATACACACAGAGGACTGCAGAGAGGCGGGACAAGACCACACTGGGGCGCAGGCACCGCCTGCAGGGATGGCCGGGAGCCGGAGCCAGAGCCTGAGCGACAGGAGGGGCCCTCCCCTGGGGCCTGGACGGGGCACCCCGACCTCAGCCAGGGGTTGGAAGGAAGGAGGGGCGGTGGGGGAAGCCCGGTGTGCGCCCCGCCACAAGCTCTGACAGGTGCTAGCCTGCAAGGCCTGCCCAGCAGAGGCCGGTTCTGGACGTGCCGGCCCCCTTAGTCCCGAAGGCCCGGGCTGGACCGAGGGCAGCGGGGCGGGCAGGGGCGCGCCGCGGTCCCAGGGAACAGCAGCCCGATGTCCGACGGCGCCCGGTGGACTCAAGCACAGGCACTTGGGCGAAGTTCAGGGCGAGGTCCCTGCGCGGGCAGGAGGCCTGGGCGCCCAGCACGGTCTGCGTCCACGGCGGAAAGGAAACGAGCGGCGGTGCCGAGGGCCACCTCCCCTGGCCAGACAGCTGCGTCCCGCCCGCACTCCCGGCGGAGCAGCGGCAGGGGGGGGGGGGGCCCCCCAGTCCCTCCCAGGGCGAGCGCGCGCGCGCTGAGCCGGACGCCCGTCTCCTGCCCTCCAGCTGGCGCGGCCAGGGCCCTCAGGCTGCGGAGGCAGTGGCCATCGCCCTGGAGCCCTCCCTGCGGGCCACTCTTGCTCCTGAGCAAAAGCCAAAGTCCGCCCGCACCCTCGGAGTCCCAGCAGGCGCACCCCAGCCTACTGCTCCCCTACACTGCGAGGCCGCCCGTTGCCCTCCCACTGCCAGGCTGGGTCCCCTTTGCTCTCCAATCAGCAAGCTCAGTCCTTTTCCCTCCAATCACCAAGCAGGGTCCGGCTGCCCGCCCAATCACCAAACTCAGTCCTGCCCCTCCAATCACCAGACTCCGTTCTGCTGCCCGTCCAATCACCAAGCTCAGCCCTGCCCCTCCAGTCACCAGGCTCCTGCTGCCCTGGGCCTTCTGCTTGTTGGCCTCTGCTTCCCAGGTGTGGTTCACGCTTGGCTCGAGTCCAAGCCCTCAGTACCGTTTTTTTTTAATGTTTAAAAATCTATTTTTATTTATTATTTTTAAAAATTTGATCAGAGAGAAAAAGGGAAAGTGAGAAAGCAAGCTGCCAGGTCTGGGACTCGAACTGCGTAAGCCACGTGGGAGTCCAGTGCCTTAACCACCACGCCCCCTGCCGGTCTGCACCTTCATTTTTATCCATTTTCCCCCTTTTTTTGGAGAGGTTTTTGCTATAGGACGTGTACACTCACCAGACAAAGACAGAGAGACAGAAAGCGAGAAATCACCCCCCGGGGGGATGGTCACACCGCAATCCCTTCTCCTCCATTCTCCTCTCGGGATCTTGGGCACGCACGCACACGCGCCCGGCGTGAGTTTAACTGCAGTAGACTACATGGGAGTCCAGCGACATAACCATTACGCTAATTGCTAATCCCAAATTCAATAATTCTTAACAAAAAAAAGGAGGAAGAAAATCCCTCCAGGCATGTGTGCATGAGTGCCCAAAATCCCGAGGGGAGATTGGAGAAGGGACCACGGTGTGGCCAGGCTCCCTGGGGTGGCTCCTCACTTTCTCCCTCTGTCTCTGTCTCTGTCAGGCACATGTGCCCTGTGAGAGACAGAGGGAGTGGGGACAGCCCCCTAACGGGAGCTGGGGTCATGGGCACCGTGGGAGGAGCAGGAAGGAGGGCCCAGCTGGGCCCTGCCCTAACCTGCAGCCCTGGCCCCCTCTGCTCCCTTCCCATTACCCACTCCTCTATGTCAAGTTCACCCTCACCTCCCCCGTCCTAGATCGGGGACTTTGGTCTCTCCGGTTGTTTCTGTACCGGGGCTGCTGGGAGCGCACCCCACACTGCTAGGCCTCGCCTCCTCCCTTCGGTGGTGGGCGAGGGCGTAGGTGTGTTCTCGCTTCCTGTCTGCCTGTCTCTCCAGTGGGCGCGTCTTATGGCAAGGCTCTCTCAGGGATGGTGGGGGCGCGGGCGTTCAGGGCGCTGGACTCCCACGTGGCTGAGCACGGGTCACGTCCTAGACCCGGTGGCTTGCTTTCTCACTTTCCCCGTCCATCCGTCCCTCTCTGGTCCAATGAAATCAAGTTAAACAAAATTTAAAAAAAAATTCACCGTAGGGCAGGTGCACTGGAGAGAGACGGGGAAAGCAAGAGAGCACGCCTGGGGTGGCCACGCGGTCCCTTCTCCAGTCCCCTCCCGGGGTCTTGGGCACGCATGTTCGAGTTTCTCAAGCCAGCGGGTCCGAGCTGTGCAGTCAGCCATGTGGGAGCCACGGGCTGGCTGTGCGCTAAGGAAGGGGTGTAGTGGGGGGCCTGACGCGGGCTGCTTCCACGTGCACGCCCAGCGGGGCCTTCCCCAGGACCACCTGGCTTAGTGAGGCCCTGGCCAAACCCTCGCCCGCGGACACAGACCAGGCGTGGGTCCAGGTGTGCTTTATTGAGGGTGGCCTAGCAGGCCAGGTGCCGCAGGCGCCAGCAGTGTGGCAGGTAGCCCAGCCCGAGTGTGTGGCGCGGCCAGTGGCAGGTGACTTCGGTAGTGGACTCTGAGGAGTACTCCAGGGAGGACTCGCCGCGCTCGGGCCCGGCCAGCTCCGGCACCGAGGTGCTGCTGGCCGGCCCGGGCTGGGACTGCTCCCGCTGCCACGTGCCCCTGCTGGCCTTGTGGGCAGGGGCCTCGGGTTCACTGGGGGGCTGCGCACCGTCAGCACCGGGAGATGGTGCAGGGGCGAGCCCGGGGCCAGCAGAGGTGCCAGGCCGCTGTGCAGGTGCAGAGGGCTCTGCCCCTGCGGGAGCCACGGAGGGGCCCGCGCGTGGCTGGGGCCGGCTGGGGTTGCCCTGTGTGCGAGGCTGGCCCCGGGCCGTGACGGCCACCTGGGTGCCGCTGGTGGAGCTGGAGGTCGGCTGGGCCCGGGCCCCGGAGCTGGACGCCACCTGGAACCGAGGCTGGACATTGCCCGAGGTGTGTGGGGAGACTCTGGGGGCCTTGTCTAGACCCAGCAGGCCAGTGGCGGTCTCTGTCATGGACCCTGTGGAGGACTCCATGGAGGGCTGGGGGCTCGCCGTGCCCCCCTTCTCGCCGGCCGGGGGGGGCTCTCGGGGGCTGGCGGGGTGCCTCACTGCTGGTTCCGCGGGGG